GTCGCAGTTAGAGAAGATGAAAACATTCTGGAGATAGATGATGGTGCTGCTGTACCACAGTGAGAGTGTACTTAATGCCAAAGACCCATATACTTAAAGTGGTCATTTTTACCTTAGGTACATTTTAACAACAATGAAGACAGAGCTTTTATATAAGGGCAACTGAATTAAATCACTGCACAATAAATGGAGAGTCGGGGGAGAAGAAGAGGAAGATCACTTCATCACTGCCCATGCTCCTCACACAGTCTCTACTGTCACCATGAGGGCTGTGAGTCTTAGCACCAGCTGGCATCGAAGGAAGTTCCTACTCCCTACTCGTCCTTCTCTGACTGCATCCCTGTAAGGGATGGGGCAGGATCACAAGTGGAGATCGAGGATTTCCACTCCCTTTTGGGAGTGAGCCACAGTCTTATTCTGTGTGGTATTTAGCTAGAAAGTAGAGAGTGGCTATTATTTTTAAATGCTCTGACTCACTAGGATGACTCTTCCTTGTCCTCTGGCTAGAGAGCACAAGCTTTTTTTTTTTTCTCTGAGACTGTGTTTCCGAATCTACTGTTTTTAGAGATTGCCTGGCATCTTCAGCATCAAGTCTAGGACACATGAACCTAAAAGAAAACTGTATCATTTGAGGAATTCTCATGTTTCTAATTTGTTGGCTGCCTTCTTTTCTCTTCCTCCTAATATCTAGAAAATTCTCTCTGAACTAAAAAAACAAACAAACAAAAATAACTGCACTTAGAACACATTCATTGTCCATTTGTTGAGGAAGACAGTTTCTGTATCATGTGAGTAAATGAGTTCAAACATTCACCAGTCCCCAAACAAAATTTAGATCTACCTTTGGGGAGGCCTTCCCTGTTCTACTTAGATACCTGGGAGACTCACTGTCCAGGGTCAGAGTTTGCCATTGGAGTACTACTTTCTTAACTTCAAAAATCTCTTCACAGAGCACCAAATTCACCAAAATGGAGGTTGGAGCCAAGTAAACTTCAATATTTAATCCCTAGAGATTGAAAATCCAGGCCTTATAATGGAGTCAGAACAGATTTTAATGACAGAGAAGAGTGAAAATTATAACCCAATCGGGCACCAGTGGCTCATGCCTATAATCTTAGCTACTTAGGAGGTTGAGATCTGAGGATTGCAGTTCAAAGCCCAGCCAGTGCACTGAGACTCTTAACTCCAATTAACCACCAAAAAAACTGAAGTGGCACTGTGGCTCAAGTGGTAGAGTGCTAACCTTGAGCTGAAAAGCTCAGGTACAGTGTCCAAGCCCCACAACCAACAGCAGCAGCAAATTGTAACAATAACCCAATTTTCAATACCACACTACATTACTTCCTATAATCTTGACATTTACATTTTCCATTAGTCTTACTAAACCTACGAGAAGGAGTCTTTGGGTGAGAAGGGGCAGTCATGGGGCTTGGACTCAGGGCCAGGGTGTTATCCCTGAACTTCTTTTTGCTCAAGGCTAGCATTCTACCACTTGAGCTCCACTTCCAGCTTTTTATGTAGTTTCATGGGAGATAAGAGTCTCACAGAGTTTCTTGTCTGAACTGGCTTTGAACTTCGATCCTTAGATCTCAGCCTCCTGAGTAGCTAGGATTACAGGAATGAGTCACTGATACCCAGCTAGGAGTCTTTTATTCTGCCAGAGTTGACTTTCTTTTTTATGGGTTTAGATTGGTAAGCTGAAATACTACAATAAGATAGGGGAATAGTCCAATGATAGAGCACATGCTTTTTATGTACAATATCCTGGGTTTGATCCCAGAACCTAAAACAGAAAGAAATACTTCACTGGGGCTTTTCCCATACAGATATTTGTTTCATTTTAGCACTAAAGGGTGGTTTCTCAGGCAGCTACTATTGGCAATAAATGGTTTGTTCCCATTTTCTTTCCCTAGTTGTAGAAAGATGGCATTAATAGCAGTTTAGATCTTTGAACTTTATCTTGGGTTACCTCTACTCTTGGGAATGCTGTTTAGCTACGGCCTATTTCAAAGCAACCTCAACCTCCTTGGACAATACTAACCTAACATCTATTTTTAGAGACTGAATCAGAACCTTCGTACACCTTTGTTTGCATGGTATCCTGACCATCCTTTGTCCTAAGGAAAGATAGGAATTACTATTAGTGCAAAGGGACATTGGAACATTGAATATTTGGAATATCATTGAAAATATGAGTGTTTTATAAGTAAATGGCTATTTGGGCTCTGGTGGCTCATGCCTGTAACCCTAGCTACTCAGGAGGCTGAGATATGAAGATTACAGTTTGAAGCCAGCCTGGAGAGGAAAGCCTGTCAGACTCTTATCTCCATGAAACTACCCAGATGTGGAGCTTTGGCTCAAGTGGTACAGCCCTAGTCTTGAGCAAAATGAAGCTCGGACACAGAGCCCAAGCCCTGAGTTCAAGCCCTAGGACCAGCACTATATATATATGTGTATATATATATATGTGTGTGTATGTATATATACATATATACACATATATATGTATATATACACACATATATATATACATATATATATATATATGTATATGCTGAAGGCTAAATCTCTATATATGCACTTTAGGCCAATGTCTAGACCTAGAATACAGCTAGAACACGTCTATCATAGTTATCATCTACTGTCCACATATATTACATCCTAAGATGATGCTCCCAGCCTAGACACAATTGCAATTCACTCTTCGAAAATCTTTCCACGTCAGTGTCAGTGAGCTGGGTTTGGCAAGGTGCAGGGCTCCTGTGTAGGGCATGAAGTAAAAAAGTAGGCCACTTGCAATATTGTTGGAGTCCAAGGAAATATGTCTTTTCTAGTCAAAGGGCCTGAGGGCCTGAAAGGGGGTTGTTTCACATTTAATTGAAATTGAATCGGCTCCCTGAAGCTCTACCGTTCCTCTGCTTGTAGGCATGATAGACCTGTTAAATACCACGTGTCATCAAGGGAAATTACACTTTACCTTCACGACCCTTCCAATTTTTGGAATCTACAGACTGAAGATGTAGAATCAATACAGGTGGGTGTGATTAAAAAAAAGTTCTCAGAGAATTGTAAGATTTAACATTTGAGAAATCCAGCTTAGGCTAATTTCATTTTTCCTACCCACCTAGTACACACATACACACATACACACACACAAAACACACACAGAGACATTTATGATATATATATATACACATATATGTGTGTATACACAGGGAGAAAAACTGACATATGTACATATATGGGTATATGTACATAATAGTTTTTTCCTCTTTTTACAATTCCTACTCTAGCTCCTTTGTATACAGGGTTCTAACAGCTTCCTGCTCTGGATGGTTCTTTTTTTGTGTGGGGGGGGGTCCGGTTGTGGGGCCTGAACTCTGGGCCTGGGCGCTGTCCCTCAGCTCTTCAGCTCAAGGCTAGCGCTCTACCACTTGAGCCACAGCGCCACTTCCAGCTTTTTTCTTTTTGCTTATGTGGTGCTGAGGAATCGAACCCAGGGCCTCTGGCATGCAAGGCAAGCGCTTTACCACTGAGCCACCTTCCCAGCCCTGGTTCATTGTTTTCAGCCTATGACTTTAGTCCTGTCCATCCCTCTCCAGGTAGTAAGATAGATAGATAGATAGATAGATAGATAGATAGATAGATAGATAGATAGATAGATAGATAGATAGATAGATAGATAGATAGATAGAACATTATATATAATGCAAACACTCTACCATGTGAACTTTACCTTTTTTGTGTTAGTTTCATTATTTAGTTATTTTTTATTTAGTATGTCTGGTTTGGGCCTCATCAATGCTAGCATCAGATCATAACTCCCCACCTAGGGCCTCCTAGGGTCAGAAGTCCATGCCACCACCCCAGGCTTGTTGAGATGGGTGTCTTGCTAACTTTTTTCCCAGGCTGGCCTCAAACCTTGATCCTCCCAATCTCCACCTCCCAAGTAGCTAGGATTATAGGTGTGCTCCACTGCACCTGGTCTCACTAGGTAGTAATTTCATTGAACTTCTATCTTCCTTTCCTTTTCATTCTTTCTTTCCTTCATTTTTCCCTTCCTCCTCTCTTTCTTATTTCTTTTCTTTCTGCTGTTGTTTTTCTTTCTCTCTTTTCTGTCTTTCTTGGTGCTGGGGATTGAACTCAGAGCCTTGTTCATATTAAGATCTACCCTCAGCCTTTATGTTCCTTCTTTTAACAATTATTAAGTTGGAGTGTAGTTCCATCCTGATGCTAGGGTTCTCCTCCCAAATTTATTCTTTCACTTTAGCATCTGTTAAAGACCTTCAGACCATTCTATTGTCGTTTGGGGCTAAAGCTGCAAGAAAGCCAGAGGGTGTTCATATTGCTTCTTCTTCCTTGCAAGTATCTAACTGGAATATGTCAGGGGCAGAGATGACTTAAATGGAGAAGAATTTGCATTGTCCTAGATCCCTAGACCAAACATAATGTCTTTTCAAACCATCATAATCCCATCATAATTTCTAACAAATTCCCATTTGTCTATCAGGTGGTGAGCATGCATTTCCGTAGAGCAGCATCAGGGCATTGATGGCATGGTGTCACAATTTTAGCAACTGCAGAATGAACCGTGCCTCTTGAGGATCAAAGGAGATTTCTCTTTGAGAGAGACAGAGTAAGTGATTTAAATCGCAGCAGGCCCAGAACTACGCACTCTCTGCAGTGTCAGAGGGGAAAGCTTACTTACAGGATGAAAGTATCTAACTTTTAGGAAATGCTTCAGATCAACCAATACACACACACACACACACACACACACACACACACACACACACACACACACACACACACACCTCTGCAAAGGAGAAGCACATTTACTTTCTCAGCACTCACGGAATTGGGATGTGGGACAATCCTGATTGACACAGAGCTTTCCTACTTCCTCTTTCTATTTCAATAAAATCCCTGCTGAACCACAGTGTCCCATTCCAGCTTCCTGATCTATGCAGACACAGCTGCTCTAAGGACCTGAGCTATATCTCAGCTGCATCTGACTATTGCTGGGAGTCCTTCTTGTGTCCATCCTCATGATGCTGTGGTCACTTCTTCTGGTCTTTGGTGAGTAGGATGCTGGAGAAGGCTGAGGCAGAGCCAGTCCAGGGCTGCCCAAGAAGCATCTTGAGTGCAGTTTGTCTTCTGGGACCTGATGAGGAGGGGTAGGATGCTGCTTCTAATTCAATATTAGCAGGTATCATGCAGGTGGGTAGTGAGCAGAGCAAGGTTGTTAGGAAAAGCAAAAGACTCTATATCTCTTTGCCAAAGACTGATGCATTATGAATATTTAATATCATTTCAGCTTTGATCTCTAGGGTCATTGGAAAACTTAGAAAGGCCATCCAAGGAATTTTCTGTGAGAGTGAGTTCTTCATTGCTCAAGCCTTCCTTCCACATCAAGCCACCATTTCTTTGGCTGAACTCTTACCACACAACTTAGATTTTGGATAGGCTTCCAGTCTTGCTACATGAAATCATAGCTTTTGCCCATAAATCTGAGTCTTGTTGTGGACCCAAACACAGCAGTAATTCTAGAATCAGAGAAGAGGGAAAAAAGCATCGGTTGAGTATAAGAAGCACCTGGATTTCTCTCATAATCCTTCCTGGCATCTATGTTGCTCACAGCTAGTCCATGGGCCTCAGAGAAAATAGCCAGAGTACTTTTAAAAGAAGATAGGAGAGGGGCTGGGAAGGTGGCTCAGTGGTAGAGTACTTACCTTGCATGCATGAGGCTCTGGGTTCGATTCCTCAGCACCACATAACCAGGGGGGGGAAAGCTGGAAGTGGTGCTATGGCTCAAGTGGTAGAGTGCTAGCCTTGAGCTGAAGAGCTGAGGGACAGCACCCAAGACCCAGAGTTCAGGCTCATGACCGGACCCAAAAAAAAAAAAAGATAGGAGAGAAGATAATGAGTAATGAAACTTCTGAGAATTTACCTGCAAAATGGCTGACTTCTGGTAATGGAAAATGATTGTGTTTATAAACTGTTAGGAGTTATTAAATGAATACTGGTTTCCATAGGAGTGAAATTTGGGAGAGAAAAAAGAAGAGAGGAATGGAAGGAGGAAATAGAGGGAAAGAGAGAGAGACAGAGAGAGAGAGAGCAGATATAAGAGATGTAGAGGAGGCCAGATGTTGGTGGCTCACATCTGTAATCCTAGCTACTCGGGAGGTTAAGATCTAAGGGTCCTATTTTGACCAAAAAGTCCATGAAACTCTTATCTCCAGTTAATCAGTGAAAAGCTGGAAGTGGAGGTATGGCTTAAGTGGTAAAGCACCAGCCTTGAATGAAAAAGCCAAGTAAGAGTGCAAGCACTGAGTACAAGCCCAGTTCCAGTACCAGCAGAGAGAGTGATAGACAGACAGACAGACAGACAGACAGACAGACAGACAGACAGACAGACAAAGGGGGTGAGGAAGAGACAGTAGGAAAGCCGGGGAAGGAATTACTGCAGAGTTCTAGAGGTAACCGCTTTTTAGAACACATAAGGTTGCTGATCCTGTGGTAATATCTCTGATTCTGTTCCCTCACAGCTCCGGCAACTGTCCAGTCTTGTGAGTAACTCTTTGTGCTTTTATGTTTCTGGGAATCATCCTCACTTTATGAGGCATGGGAGGTGTGGCTTGCCCTGCCTTTTAGCTGAGGGCTGCAGGGATCTGAGCAAAGACAGGTGAAAACAAGCCAAGAACCAGTGCTGATCTCTGCGTAGCCTTGGCTCTGCACCTGGTGGGGAGGGGGAACCTCTCCGCTACATTAACATCTGCTTTGCCATCTCCCTGTCTAATGAGTAAGAAGAGCACAACCTGACCCTCTCAAAGCAATGAATTCTTCCCCCTTAACTGTTGAGCCTGAGATGGGAAAGAAGATAACTGTGAAGGGAAAGCAGACCAGGAAGTGTCTAACAGGGAAAGCAGTCTCTTTCAGGGCACTGGAGCTCACCAGACCCTTCAGCAGCATTGGGGGAAGTGATAGAAAACATTGCTAATAAAGCAGCAGCAAGAGGCTGGGAAGATGCTCTGCAGAAAACAAGAATTCCTTTGCATCTCTTATTTGGATTGTAAACAATCGAATACCCAATTTGCCTTTCCTTTTTATTAGAATTCTGATAGAATGAAGTGTGATAGAGAAGAAAGCTTGGTTTTGTAGTAGCCTGGAAAGTTACATTTTCTTTGTGTTCATGCCTTTGAGAACAAATTCATTTTGTCTAAGGGGAAGGCGAGATGGTGCTTGTATATCTAGCCTTGTAACTTTAAGCAGGAAGGCTAGGGTGAGGGGGTCTCTGGAGTAGCCTAAAGATACCAAGTGAGCTCCAGGAAGTGATAGTAAATAAGTGCTTTGCATAATTGTCCCTACTTCTAGAGATATGTCTGTAAGTAAAATGTCAAAAGTTAAAATGAAATATTTTAATATCCTAAAATATTTAAATGTCCTAAAAATGAAACAGTTGCCAGATGTCAGTGGCTTGTATTAATAGTCCTAGTTAAGATCTGAGGATCATGATGTGAAGCCAACCCAGGCAAAAAACTCTATAAGACTCTCATCTCCAATTTACCCAACAAAAAGCCAGAAATTGAGCGATAGTTCAAGCCATAAAGAACCAGCTTTGAGTGAAAAATCCAAGTGAGAGTACAAGGTCCTAAGTTCAAGCCCAATATTGGTACAAAAACAAAAACAAACACCAAAAATGTTTAAGACTACAAACTCAGGTAATCTCACAGTTAAGTCTTTATCCCAGACTAAATAAAACCTAGTGTCGGAATCAAACTCAGTGTCAGAAATTTTTCCCTATCTCCTAGCTATCTCCTTGTCATTATTATTGACTTGTTCACATAGATTTTACTTCTCAAATATTTCTTTGTTCAAATTTAATTGTATCTCTGTAATGATCACTGAAAACTTTGCCCTATCTCAGAAAAAGAAACTATTTGGCCTCCAAAGTGTCTGTCAATCTTTGTGCTTCCTGAATTTTACCTCCTGTATTTTACCTCTAGTCTAATGGTGTCCTTTAAACTGATTAAAAGGGGAAAAAAAGGAATATTGAAGTCATATTTGAACCCAAATGTTTGCTTTGCACTATTAAAAAATTCATCCCATGTTTCTATTGAATTACTAGCTTTGGTTTTTTTTTCTTTTTAGGCGGGGGTCTGGTTGTGGGCCAGAACTCTGGGCCTGGGTGCTGCCCCTCAGCTCTTCAGCTCAAGGCTAGCACTCTACCATTTGAACCACAGTGCCGCTTCCAGCTTTTTTTCTGCTTATATGGTGCTGAGGAATCGAACGCAGGGCCTCATGCATGCAAGGCAAGCGCTCTACCACTGAGCCACCTTCCCAGCCCTCATCCCATGTTTCTAGAATCTCATATGCATATAGGTTATATAAAATAGGTATAGATTTATTTTAAGATCCTATATTAAAATAGGGACATGGGGGCTGGGAAGGTGGCTCAGTGGTAGAGCGCTTGCCTTGCATATATGAGGCCCTCGGTTTGATTCCTCAGCACCACATAAGCAGAAAAAGCCAGAAGGGGGGCTGAGGCTCAAATAGTAAAGCGCTAGTCTACAGCTAAAGAGCTGAGGGACAGCACCCAGAGTTCAGGCCCCATGACTGACCCCCCCCCCAAAAAAAGAACATGGTAAAATAGATGCAAAAATAAAAAAGTTCCTAGATGAGATGTATCATATACTATGGATGCTCTAAGTGCTTTACCCTGCCTCCATATCTGCTGGCTCTGGGGACTGTAGATCTAGATCTCATGGTGAAAGGACCACCTCTCTTTTGAGACAGGACTCTGCTAGGGAGTAAATCCAAAACAGCAAGCTGCTCATTAGCTTTCTGATGATCCTTATCTTCCTTAGGGAAGGGAAGGTCCCTCTCGTGGGGATCATCCATTCCCATGCACAGATACTTTTGTAGACATTTCTAAAAGAGACATCAAATAGAGACCTTTAGAGACTGAAGATATACATCCCAGGGCTGATGTCTTGATGGCCCAGTTTCCTTCATAGGAAAGTCATTTGCATTAATTATACCACCACATGGAGTTTCTAAAGAATGAGACCGACTGAGAAAGTTAATCATGCTCCCTATGTGGGCATGAGGCCTCCTTGAATATATGTAAGAAGACGTAGAGAGGTTTATTTATTTATTTTTTGGTGTTAGTACTTGTGCTTGAACTTAGGGCCTTGGCACTGTCCCTTAGGTTTTTTTATTTAAGATTTGTACTCTACCACTTGAACCATTTCTCCACTTCTGGCTGTTGGATGGTTAATTGAAGATAATAGTCTCAGGACTTTTCTACCTGGGCAGGTTTTGAATTATGATTCTTTTTGTTGTTGGTGGTAGTGGTTGTGGTGCTTGAACTCAGGTCCCTGAGCTTATCTGCTCAAGGCTAGCACTCTACCACTTTGAGCCACAGCACCACTTCCAGTTTTCTGGAAATAAGAATCTCATGGAATTTTCTTGCTCAAACTGGCTTTGAACCTTAATCCTCAGATCTCAGCCCTCCTGAGTGGCTAGGATTACAGGTATGAGCCTGGCTTTGAACCAGGATTCTAGCCCTAACCTGGGAGGGATCATTGTAAATCTATTTGTTGGCAGCTGGAAAAAAAATGGCATCAAAATCTATTAATAGACATACAGGTGACAGGATGTGCAGAGAACAAGAATGCCACTCACTGAAATAGAGCTCACCTTGGTTGAGTGGGAAAGCTCACTGAGCCCATTGATGCCAAGGCAGCAGTGGGTGCCTAGCTTCTGGATTCATGCAGAGAGCCCAATCCCTTCCCTCAGTGATCAGAATCACGGAAGTGCTGGGGCAGCGGGGAAGCTTGGTCACCACAGGTATCTCGTTTCTTTTACAGACTGGCTGAGCATCTACATGCCACGTGATGCTTATGAAGGAGACCAGGTGGTAATAAGGTGCTCTGGGAATAATAATGGTCAAATAAGAAGACTAAAGTTCTACAAGGATGGAGCTCAGCTCGCCACTTACAGTAGTGCCTCAAGCTATACCATTTCCAATGCAAAGCGCAGTGATAGCGGCTCCTATTACTGTAAAGCAGACAGAGAACTTTTCCTATTTGTAGATGTGACGGAAGAAACAAACTCTGTGTGGCTCAGTGTCCGAGGTGAGGGCCCTTCTCTTCAAGTGTCCGAGTCTGGAAAGAGGAAAAACCTGTGTGGAAGAAACAGGACAGGGTAGTAAAGTCCATTCAGGGAGGGAGATGAGCTGTGTATCCTTGAGTCTGGGTCTGTGTGCCTTGCTCACAAAGGACACTACTTGTAGGCCACTACTCCCCATTCCATCACTAACAGGGGTCTCTGTTCCCTTCTGCCCTCCAGAGCTGTTTCCTGCACCTATGCTGACAGCCAGCCCCACCCGGCCCACCGAGGGGAGCTCAGTGACCCTGACCTGTAGCACCCGGCTCCCTTCAGATAGATCAACCACCCAGCTACACTTCTCTTTCCTCCGAAGCGGCCACACCCTGCAGTCAGGCTGGAGATCAGCATTTAACATCTCAGCAATTTGGAAAGAAGCTTCGGACTACTACCAATGCAAGGCAAAGACAGCATCTCACAGTGTTTCCAAGAGCAGTGCACAGTCCTATCTCGACGTGCAGAGTGAGTGAGTCCCGATGGGCTGGGCAGCCAGGGAGAGCTGGGACACCAGCCACGTGATAGGCTCTTTTCAGCTATGTAGCCTGATTCCTGTGAGTGTGGGGACTACCAAGGCTCACCAGGGCTCTTCTCTAATAGTTTCTGTGGGGGGCATTATTTCCTAATAACTTTGCTCTCTCTGGCAGAAAAGTAATCATATCAACCTCCTTTACCATACGGTCGGCACTGAGGTATGTTCTTTCACAGCAAGAAGTGAATAAATCACTTTCTCTGTCTGCAAGGGGTGACCACCAGCTACAAGGCACGATATAGAGCAATGAAAGCATAAGGAATAATAATAGAAAACTACAAGACCAATTCCTGGTACTTATAATGGATTGCCATAGGCCAGGCCTGAACTCACACTGAGGTGTTTTGTTCTAGAACCCTGTGCCGTTCGTATATAGCTGAAGAAGGAAAGAAGGACAATTTACCACGTCTAAGGTGCAGTTCAGAGCAGTTTAACATTTCATCTCCCTGCAGCATACTTCTCAGTGTACTAGTATAGTACAGAAGGTACTATAAGTATTCCTACTCTACAGATAAAAATATGGAAAGCATAATTAAGAGACTTGGAACCAGGTGTGGTGGCTGGTGCCTGCAATCCCAGCTATGTGAGAGGTCCTCACCTTAACCAATAAGCCAGACAGTTATGTGGGAGGGCAGAGGTAGGAGGATCCTGGTCAGAGGACAGTCCAGGCAAAGAAGCAAGACCTTACCCAAAAAAATAAAGTATAAGAGGGGTGGAGGCATGGCTCAAGTGGTAGAGTGCCTGTCTAGAAAGGTTAAGGCTAACAGTACAAGCCTCAGTAGCACACACACACAAAGACAGACAGACAGAGATACACAGAGAGATCAAGAGAAAGAAACTTGTCTCAGGTAATCTAGTACACAGGACTGGAATTTGATTCTGATCTCTGGCTCGTATACTCTTCAAACCACCTTGCTCATTAATGTGGAGGGTAGGGCAGGGTCATTATTGAGCATCAAACTATAGAGTTGGTCCTAGGTAATGTCTCTAAGAATGTTCTCTTCCCTCCAAAACACTTGGGCCAGTGGGATGGACTTCAAACATTCAATTCCAGACAACCCACCAACCATGATGCTCAGCAAGGGCTACTAGACTCCATCCCTACCCCTACCTTTCCCCTGCCGGGCCCTCACCTGCCATCTCCTGTTCCCAGGGATCCCTGTGTCTCAAGTCTCCATGGAGACCCAACCTCCAGGAGGCCAGGCGGTTGAAGGGGAGACACTGGTCCTTGTCTGCTCCGTGGCGGAAGGCACAGGGTACACCACGTTCTCCTGGCACAGGGAGAACATGAAGGAGAGTCTGGGGAGGAAAACTGAGCGTTCCCAGAGAGCAGAGCTGGAGATCCCTGCCATCAGGGAGAGCCATGCCGGCGGCTACTACTGCACAGCTGACAACAGCTACGGCCCTGTCCACAGTGAGGTGGTGACCATCACCGTGAGAGGTGAGTAGCACTCGGCTCCTAGCAACTCCCAACTGGAGTCAGTTTCCTTCTGTGGCAGTGAGGATGGTCCAAGATTATTTTAAAAAAATGATTAAGGACATGAAGAGGAAACATGGCAGTGGCAAGAGTGATGGAGGAGCTGAAGGAAGGAGGGGAAATGGGACAGGTGGCAGGTTACATGGAGTGGTCAGAGGCATGGGTTGTAGAATGCTTCATCAGAGCTTGTCAAAGCTCTGCAAGAGCCATCTCTGCAGAGGGTGCTTACCTTAGGAAAGAATTCAGGAGTTTAGGCTGTGCCTCGTGAGCCCGTGAGTGGGTTGTAAGTCACACCACCCTCTGCCTGTGTCAGTTCCAGTGTCCAGTCCTCTCCTCACCTTCAGTGCTCCTGGAGCCTTGGCCTTCGTGGGAGATGTAGTAGAGCTTCATTGTGAAGACAGTAGAGCATCTCCCCCCATTCTGTACTGGGTTTTTCATGAAAATATCACCATGGGGAAGGCCTCAGCACCACTTGGAGGAGGAGTATCCTTCAACCTGTCTCTGAGTGCCTGGCATTCTGGGAACTACTCCTGTGAGGCGGACAATGGCTGGGGATCCAAGCGAGGTGCGGTGGTAACACTCCATGTCAAAGGTAGGATGTATTCAATGTCTCCTTTCAGAGAACCTGTTGCAGTTATACCAAGCCACATTCGTGGTTCCTTTCCACTGGATGTGCTCACCCTTTAGGGAATCAGAGTTCCACTAGGGTCATTCATTCTCTTAACAAGTGTATCACTAGCCTACTATTTCTTATTTCTCTTTTACTTTTATAACCATATATACGTGACATAAGCAAAACAAAAACAAAAAAACCCAGACTGGGTGTGATGGCCTATGCCTTTAGTCCTAGTTACTTAGGATGCTAGATAGGAATTTAAAACCCATATTGGCAACACATCAAGACTTTGCCTCAACAAAATCAATTCAATTAGTTACCAAATAGGCAGATATTAGAGATTAATCAGTCTATAAATGTCCCGTTTCTGCCCTCTACAGAGAAAAAGAGACTATGATAGGCAATGTCATCCATGAAGTATGGAACATTAAAAAAAAAAAAAAAGTAAACTTATTTAACCTTAGGCTTTTCTGAATTGCAGCCCTCTTGTCTCTATCTTTATTTTTATTTTGGGGGGCTGGTACTGGAACTTGAAGGCAAGACCTTTCCTCTCACTTGGCTTATTCACTTAAGTCTGACATTCTAGTTATTGAGCCACTTCTGGCTTTGGGGTGGTTAATTGGAAAGAAGAGTCTTACAGATTTTTTGGGGGGGGGTCTGGTCATGGGGCCTGAACTCTGGGCCTGGGTGCTGTCCCTCAGCTCTTCAGCTCAAGGCTAGTGCTCTACCACTTGAGCCACAGCACCACTTCCGGCTTTTTCCTTTTTTCTTATGTGGTGCTGAGGAATCAAACCCAGGGCCTCAAGCATGCAAGGCAAACGCTCTACCACTGAGCCACCTTCCCAGCCCTGAGTCTTACAGACTTTTCTGCTCAGGCTGGCTTTAAATTGTGATCCTCATATCTCAGCCTCCTGAGTAGCTAGAATTACAAATGTGAGTCACCATCACTCAGCTATTACCTGCATATTTAGAAAAGACCTTATTCTGGTCTTTCCTGCCTTAAAGATTTTTTTCAAGTATAATTTCATTGTTATTATTAAGATGTTACCATTTCACAAGTCAGGTCATGAGTATATTGTTTCTGTTTTTTAATTTTTTTTTATTGTGAAAATATTGTACAGAGGGGTTACAATTACATGGGCAAGATAATGAGTACATTTCTTATCAAGCATTGTAGCCTCCTCCTTTGTTTCCCCTTCCCATCCCTTCCCATCCTCTCCCCACCCCCCCAATCCTCCCCGCCCCCCGCCCCACCAAAGTTGTAAAGTTCGTTTTCGACATAACGACTGGTACTTCTCATTGTTGCAACGGGTCCATCTGTATCCCTAGTTAAACCACTTGTTTTTCCCCTTCCCCTCCACAAATTATACCGACATCAAATACAGTGAAAGCAGGGGTTATATCGTGGGGGAGGGACATACAAAGCAACAAAGAAATAATCTTATAAATGCGTTAGAAACAATCGCATGAAAGAAAAAAAATTTTGAATACATATCTTAGGGTTCATTTCCTTAACATCACCTTATCTGACCTTTTCTGCTTGACTCAGACATATACTAGATATTGCAAATAAGGGAAACCATGGGACCTATGTTTCTTTGGGCTTGGCTTACTTCACTTAACATAATTTTTTCCAAGCCTTTCCATTTATGAGTATATTGTTTCTGGACCACATCACCCCTTCCTTTGCTTTCCCACAGTTTCCCCTCCCACCCTTGTCTACAAGTTACATAAGTCATTTTCCACAGTGTCTAGTGAATAGCATGATTGCATGTGTTCAGCCTTCTTCTGTAACTTTTGTCTTTAAGATTTTTGAGCTCAGACTGGGAAGGTGGCTCAGTAGTAGAGTGCTTGCCCTGCTTGCATAAGGCCCTGGGTTCGATTCCTCAGCACCACATAAGCAAAAAGAAAAAAGCCGGAAGTGGCGCTGTGGCTCAAGTGGTAGAGCACTAGCCTTGAGCTGAAGAGCTGAGGGACAGCGCCCAGGCCCAGAGTTCAGGCCCCATGACCGGACCCCCTCTTCTCCCCGCCAAAAAAGATTTTTGAGCTCAAGAAAATGGAACCATTAACCTTTGTGCCTCCTCTATCCCTTTATAGTCAGAGTGAAATCTAGAGTTCTTCTCTGGGTCTCCCTGCGTGGGGGCACTGACAGGCTGGCTGTAGCAGATGATAAGGAGGTGGGACAAAGCCAGGGCTCGTACCTCTGCTTTAGCAACCCCCCTGCCCCCACTCCCACGCTTCACCACCATCAGACAACCCCTCGCAACACGGGGAAGACTGTGCATTCTGACTGTGCTCTAACCCTCTCTGTTGGCAGAGGCCCCTCCCAAAGTCCGTCTGACAAACGGTGCCCACCGCTGCGAAGGACGGGTAGAGGTGGAACGGGAAGGCCGCTGGGGCACTGTGTGCGATGACGGTTGGGACCTGAAGGATGTGGCCGTAGTGTGCCAAGAGCTGGGCTGTGGAGCAGCCAAGCACACCCCTGCAGCCATGCTGTACCCACCAGCGGCAGGCACGGCCCTGCCTGTGCTCATTCAGGTGGCCCTGTGTAACGGGACAGAGCAGGCCCTGGCTGCCTGTGAGCAGGTGGACACCTTTGACTGTGGCCATAATGAGGATGCTGGGGCTGTGTGTGAAGGTGGGTAATGGCAGAGCCTGGGAGGAGGGTACAGAATGGCGGACAAACCCACCTCTGATGGCTGCCACTACCATTTCTACTTTCTGCAACCACTGTACCTTCCTCCTTCAGAACCAGCCACCCAACCAGGTACTGGTGGCTCACATCTATAAACTCTTAGTTACTCAGAAGACTGAGTTCATCCAGTGTGGATGGAAAAGTCGATGAGATGCTTATCTTTTATTTCTTTTTTTTCTTTTTTCTTTTGCTGCTCATGGGGCCTTAACTCTGGGCCTGGGCGCTGTCCCTCAGCTCTTTAGTACAAGGCTCTACCACTTGAGCCACAGCACCACTTCTGGCTTTTACTGCTTATGTGGTGCTGAGGAATTGAACCAGGGCCTCATGCATGCAAAGCAAGCGCTCTATCACTGAGCCACCTTCCCAGCCCCAGAGATATTTATCTTTAATTAACCACCAAGAAGCTGGAATTGGATCTGTGTCTCAAGTGGTAGAGCGTTAGCCTTGACAAGCAAAACAAAACAAAACAAAAACTCTAAAAGACAGTGCCAAGGCCTTGAGTTCAAGCCCCAAGACCAACACCAAAAAAAAAAAAAAAACCATTCCTCCATTCACATTCCTCAGTAGCATGAGGTCAGGACAGCTCTCTCGGTTCACATTAGGTTGGTCCTGAGTCATAGAAGACTCTCCTATGTGCTCATATTATTAGTCCTTATCTGCCATCTCAAAAGACAAAGTATTAGTATTCCTTTGGCTGTGCGTTAGGGCATAGTGCCAAGAAAATAATTATGAAGCCATAAAATTACATAGTTTGAGTGGTTTTAATCAAGGTGACACTTCTTACATAATTCTGTAATCACCTCAGCTCTTCTGAGATCTCTCCCAAACGATTGTATTCATCAGATTGAAGCACTGGCTTTTAATGGAAAATGATGGGGCTTTGGAGGGGATGTTGGAAAGGCATTGGGTTGGCCAAGAAAGTCAGGCCACACACCATATAAGCTGAAGTTCCCTAAGGGTGAGAGGAAAATGAAGACATTTTTAGACTCCTGCAGCTCCAAAAAGTCTCCACAGAACCTGTGACTAGAATGGAACCCAGAGAGACTCTTTTCTCCAGCCCCAGCCCCATAGGGCTTCTAGATGCCATATGCCAGGGTACAGGGTAGTTTTTCAGAGGTCCTTAATGAGAAGAAAGTCTTCAGAACCACAGGTCCGTGTGCATTCTGCTGTAAAGGCTGCAGAAATGGAGTCAGGATTAAGGAATAAATGAAGGAATAAACAGGTATGTTAGGCCCTACATTTTATAGACATGTGAACATACAAAACAAATTCTGCAAAAGAAAATGCAAGTGTTTAAACTTATTTTTAAGTTACCAGGAAGAGACTTGCTTTCAATTTTTTCCTCCTTAAAATGCCTGCATGTTTAAAATTTTATTAACATAAATTAATTAATGAAGGGGTTTCATTATGATATGTACAACATGCATATAATGTACTTTGATCAAATTCTCCCTGTCTATATTGCTTTTTCTTAACCACTCTCCTTCCTTCCATTATAGGCATAAAGCATATACAAAAAAGCAGTACACAATAAAGAAATAAATCATCCAAAATCCCCATACACAAAAGTAGCTGCTGTTCTGGTACTTGCAAGGTTTAATAAATAATAAATGTACAAATGAATACATATTTGAATTTATTATTCTATAGGCTGTACATTATAGTGCTTATTAAATTTAACTATACAGTGTTAAAGGAAACCCACAGAGAAAACACGCACACACATATGTGTGTGCTATCTTGAAATTTGAGTAAAAATTTTTTAATCCTAAAATTGACCTTTCAAGGAAGATTCTAGCTGGTGCTGGTGTCTCACACTTGTAATCCTAGCTATTCAAGAATCTAAGATGTGAAAGTCAAAGTTTGAAGACATCCTGGGCAGAAAAGTCTATGAGACTCTTATCTCCAATTAAACGGCAAAATGCCAGAAGTAGAGGTGTGGCTCAAGTAGTAGAGCACTAGCCTTGAGTGAAAAATAGCTTGGGGCTCAGTATCAGCACAAGAGCCAGTGAGCAAGCAAGAAAGCAAGGAAGAAAAGGAAGAAAGAAAAAAAAAGAAAGGAAGGAAGGAAGGAGAGAGAGAGAGAGACAGAGAGAGAAAGAAAGAAAGAAAGAAAGAAAGAAAGAAAGAAAGAAAGAAAGAAAGAAAGAAAGAAAGAAAGAAAGAAAGAAAGAAAGAAAGAAAGAAAGAAAGGAAAGAGTTCTGATTCAATGCCAGGCGCCAGGGCTCATGCCTGTAATCCTAGCTACTCAGGAGGCTGAGATCTGAGGATCACAGTTCAAAGCCAGCCTGGGCAGGAAAGTCCATGAGACTATTATCTCCAATAAACCACTCAGAAAACCAGAAGTGGCACTGTGGCTCAATTGGTCGAGTGCTAGCCTTGAGCTGAAGAGCTAAGGGACAGCATCCAGGCCCAGAATTCAAGCCCCACAACAGACAAAAAAAAAAAAAGAAAGAAAGAAGGAAGGAAGGAAAGAAAGACAGTCCTGATTCAAAAGGTCTCTTTGGGGGCTGGGAAAGTGGCTCAGTGGTAAAGCGCTTGCCTTGCATGCATGAGGCCCTGGGTTCGATTCCTCAGCACCACATAAGCAAAAAGAAAAAAGCCAGAAGTGGCGCTGTGGCTCAAGTGGTAGAGCGCTAGCCTTAAGCTGAAGAGCTGAGAGACAGCGGCCAGGCCCAGAGTTCAGGCCCCACAACTGGACCAAAAAACAAAAACAAAAACAACAAAAAGGCTCTTTGGTATAATTGCCTTTATTAGTTTGGAGAAGGCACACATTTATGGCTTCTTTCTTTTAAGTGTGCCTTCTCCAAACCCTGTGAGCCCCTGAGTATCAGTATTTAGTGTTCAGACCTGTCTAAATCTCCAGAATATTTGAAGATGGCTTCTTTTAGAAATTTGTAATTTACTTTTGAATCTAGGTGGATATGAGAACAGTAGATTTTTTCAGATTAGATATCTATATTAGTAATAATTTCTTGAACATATGTGCTAGATTTCACATAGTTACTATACTGTTAATAAAAAAAAAGCTTTACTATTCATATTCTAATTGGGTTGTATTCAAGTTTTGGTGCCATCAAAAGTTAATCTTAGGAGAAACTGATGCATAAACATATGTAAGTATATACTGATAGTATTGTGTTTGAATTCATAGTTTACAGGCTTACTATGGGGTGCTCTGCTGCGTCAGCCACACCTCCAGCCTAAGAAATTGATATTTTTACACATGTAATCTTCCAATCCCAAAACAAGATACATTGTTTCTTTGTATTTGTTTAGATGTTAGCGGAGAAATTTTTAATTCATCTCTCATAAATTGTTTTTTTATTAATTTTATTAAAATAATTATGTAGAATCTTATCCCATTATGTTTCTCATACTTTAGTATATAAAATAAATACTCTGTTACCAGTTAATGTTTGTTCCCAAGTATTTTACAGAGTTCTCTTATTATTTCTAATATTTTTAGTTAATTTTTTAGGCTTGCTTGATAATCGTATCTGCCAATGTCTTTCATTCTACTAATATATAAAACACAGATTTCCTTTTTTTCCTATGTATCTTAGCTAGCCTTTCTAGAATAATGGTAAATCATTGTGATGACAATAGGTATCATGGCTTTCGTCACAGATTTGACAGGTATGCTTTGTTAATTTCACCAAGAAGCGTGATGCTGGCTTTTAAGCCATATATTTATAATGTCAAGACTACTTACTGTATAAATTAATAAGAATTTTATTTATCTAATCAGTAGTAGATGTTGAATTTTCAAAACTGCTAGTGGTACTTTGTTTCCTTTTAACTTAATATGATGAATTCCATTAGCAGATCTTCTAATAGTGCAATGCTACCTGGTTGTGATGTATATTAATATCCTGCTGAATTGTATTTGATAAAATCTTTAAGACTTTTGCATAGATGTTCATAATGAGGATTTATCTGTAGCTTTTTTCTCTTTCTTTGAAAAGCTTTGATGTCAATGTTATATTGCCTTCTTATTATGTTAGTAGGTTTATTTCTCTACAATCAAAATGTTTAAATACTACTAAATATATCTTTTCCTTGAAGATTGAAAGTAAAGTTAATGCAGATCCATCTGACTTGATATGTTTGGAAGTATTTTTTTTTCATGACTATTGTTCTACTTATTAAACTATCCCTTCTTGCATAAAATTTGATCATTTCTGTTTTCCTAGAAAACCATCCATTCAATGTAGCTTCCAAATGCTATCTTTTCTTATTGTCTCTTCTTTCTTGATTAGGCTATTCAGTGGTGTATCTGTTTATCTTTCATGGAAAAGCTTTCAAGATTATTCATTTATTCCATTGTGAGGCTTTTTGTTTGTTTTATTCATTAGTGTCTGCTTTTATCTTAATTGGTTTTGTTGATATTTTCCTTAGTTCTTCAGATCAAGGCTTGTTCATTTATTTCCATTCTTTCTTACTGGTACTCTTTCTAAGTGTTAATGAGTTTCCCCAAGAACGATTTTACTCATCTCTCTCAGGTTTTTATGGTGTTTTTATTATTTTTACTTTTGAGTTTCTAATATCAGTCTGCTTTCTTTGACCTCAAGGTTGTTTTAAACTGCCTGTTGACAAGACTTTTCCTTGATTTTGTGATTTTTTTTTTAATGATTGCATTTGTAATTTGTAAAGGGTTTTTTGTTATGACTCATTTACAGTCAGTTTTTGTAGATGGTCCATGAGGATTTAAAAAGAAGGGAAATCCCTGTTGCTGGGATGCAGAATTATATGTTAGGAGCTCTTTATTTATCATACTATTCAAATTGCATACTTCTTATTTTTAACCACTTGACCTGCCCAGGCCTATGGGTGTCATTTATTGCTGTCATTGTGTTTAAGTTTATTTCTCCTTTTGTGTGCTGTACTCCACGTGTCAGACACTTTGATGGAATATTATTTAACTCAAAAGACTTATGGGGCTTAGAGACATGTATTTTGGCCTTTCTGTTTGGGTTCAGTGCTGTTTGCCATGATATATCTTGGTGCATTCTTTTGCTTTTCACATTCCAGAGCCACTTTCTTTGAGATATGTTTCTTACATGTAATGCGTAGTTGAATTTGAGTTGTCTATTGAACATAAAATTCTTTTTATGCTGGTGTGTGTTCTTTGTATTTCATGTTATCTTTCCTCTTCTTCTGTCTTTGTCTTTTGTTTGCTAGTTCTGTTTTTGTTTCCCATCCTTTTTATTTTGTAACCACAAGAGCAGACTTAATTCTTTGGTTCATGATTTACTTCCATAATCATTGGCTCATACCAATTTCCTCTCTGGTTTCCTTTATTTCCTTGTATTTCTACTTGCTGTTCTCTTCTCCTACCATCTGAATCATTTTAATATACTTTATTCATATGTATCATTTTTGTGAGACCAAAATGTTTTTATATGCTGGTGTTGGAGCTTGAACTCAAGGCCTAAGCACTGTCCCTTAGCTTTTTCACTCAAGGCTGGCACTCTACCACTTGAGCCACAGAATCACTTCTGGCTTTTTTGGTGCTTAATTGGAGGTAAAAATCTCACTAACAGCCGGGCGCTGGTGGCTCACGCCTGTAATCCTAGCTACTCAGGAGGCTGAGATCTGAGGATCGCGGTTCAAAGCCAGCCCGGGCAGGAAAGACCGTGAGACTCCTATCTCCAATAAACCACCAGAAAACCGGAAGTGGCGCTGTAGCTCAAGTGGTAGAGCGCTCGCCTTGAGCTGAAGAGCTGAGGGACAGCGCCCAGGCCCAGAGTTCAAGCCCCACGACCGACAAAAAAAAAAAAAAAAAAAAAAAAAAAAATCTCACTAACTTTCCTGCCTGGGTTAGATTTAAACCATAATCCTCAGACCTCAGCCTCCTGAATAGCTAGGATTATAGGTGTGAGCCTGGCACCTAGTTATTTGTGTTTTTATGTAGTCATTGGTCTTTATCATATATCTGTGTTCCTTAGGCTCCAATTCCATACAGACTTCCTGGCATGGATGGGCTTTTGCTGCTTGAGTGAACTTTTCTACACCAAATCTTTGTCTTCTGGCTTTCAGGAGATAGATTTCTCCTTATATTATTGGCTCTCAACTTTGTTGTACATTGTAATTACTTAGGAGTTTTTAAAGTGCTGATGTTTAGATACCACTTACAAACTCTCTAGAAATTTCAGTTGGTGACTGGGCATCAAGATTTTGCCTTTACTTTAAATTATTCTCTAGGTGATCCTAATATTTAGATAAACTGAAAATCACTGCTTTAGATTTTAAAAGACCCCACTTTGATTGCTGTTCCCGGGAAGGAAAGGAGCCTCTTAGATCTGTGAATCTTTCTGCTGCAGATATTCTTATTTTCTGGTGATAGTGGAGAAAGAAAGAATCATGAATCATGTTGATATTACAGAGCTGCTAGGGGATACCACAGACTGGGCGGGTTAAACAAGACATGTTTATTTTTCCTCAATTCTGTAGGCTGAAAGCCCAATATCAAGGTATTGGAGGGTTGGTTTCTATGTGTTTCTCCTTGTCTTGTAGCTAGCTGAGTTCTCCCTGTGTCTTCTCCTGGTCTCCCTGGTGCCAGTCAGTGTCCTAATCTCTTATCAGGATACCAGTCACATTGGATAATAACCCACTCTAATAACCTCATTTGAACTTAATCGCCTCTTTAAAGACCTTATCTCCAAATGCAGTCACATTCTAAGATATATTGCTAGGGATTAAGACTACAACTCAGGAATATTTTTTGGAGCGTAAAACTCAGCTTATTATGTCTCTTTATTAGCTCTTCCTTGGTCAAGTTAAAGCTTGTGTGGCCACCTGATTTCTAACCACAGCAGCCTAATGTGAGTCCCACTGCTTCTCTGCAAGCAATTGACTTAGTGTGCATCCTTGACTCCTAGGGGCCTTTCTCCCTAGTTCCCACTACATTCTTGGGCTCCCTCTTTCTCTGACGCCATGTATTTTCTTCCTTTTTGATATTTTTATATAATACTTTCTATTAATTGCCCCTAAGGGTCCTATTCTTTCCTCTAGTCTTACATTTCTTAACAA